CCCGCGCTCCCCCCCCCGCTGCCACTCGCTGAGAATAAGAGTCTCCAGATGCCCCTGAAGGAGCCATGGGCTGAGCTCATTGGGAATGGCGGCTGCCCTGGCACTGTGTAGGCAATGGTGGGAGACAGCCAGGAAAATCACCCTTTTGCTTCTGCAGCCCTCCTGCCTCGGCGCTCAGCTCATCACTCGGGACGGGATGTGTGTCCTGGGGAAGGCTGTCCCCAGCACCCGGTGGCACGTGGCAGGGGAGGGGGCAGGGGTGAGCAGGACAGCTACAGAGCCAGGGACCTCTTGAGGAGCTCCCTATCTCGCTGGGGACTATGTTTTAGGGGAGTTACTCACACAGAGAAAAGGAGTAAGCAAATAGCGTTCTGAGGCAGCTCTGTGACACCTTTACTACTCCTAGAGAAACCTCTCCAAGCATGGCCCCATGCTCCAGCTCTGCCCCACAGCACCCAGCCCCATGCCCCAGCTCTGCCCCTGCCCCTCGCTGTGGCCCCAGGCAGGGTCTTTCACGTGGCAGTGGCTACGATGGCTGGGGAGCTGGCTGCCAGCTCCACTCCGTTTGCCATCAGGAGCAGCCGCACAGCCCTCCCAGGTCGCTTCGTGCCCTTTGGGGCTCAGTGGGGAGCCCTGGGGTGACGCGAGGGCCCCGCCGGGGCGATGCAGAGCGAACACCACAGACGCGTATGCTCCTTGCAGAAATGCACAGCTTCAGGCTGGAAAGGCAGCAAGCGCGGCGCCTGCCTCTGCCAAGGGCGCTGGGACGAGCCCAGGCGTCCGATGCCAACCTGTCAGCTAGGAGTGACCTGGGAATGAGGAACAGCCTGGTATCCCCCCTGCTGGGGCTGCGAGCGCAGCCAGCGCGGCTTCTGCAAAGGGAAATTGTGCCTCAGGACGCTGTGAGAACGCTCCAAATATGTCAGTGAAGCAACAGGATCAGGAATGAGGGAGGCTGACATAATTTATTTGGGCTTCCAAAATGCCGTTGACAAGCTCTCTCCAGAGAGGCTCCCGGGGGGCCCCTCGGGGAGGCACATTCACTCTTCTCCCCTCTGCCCACCCCAGCTCACAGGAGGCCCCGCGGCGGCTCCTCGGAGAGAAAGTCCCAAGAGCAAGGAGCCCGCCGCAGCCACCGCACCGAAAAGCGGTGGGCGCAGCCGCGCGCGGC